ATATATATATATATATATATATATATATATATATATTAAATCGGCACTTCAGAGAACTTCATTTTTTTCTATTTTACTACTTTGCATCTCATCTTATGCTACATCACTGCCTGAACAATGGCATGATATACACTTTGACATACAGAAGAAAGTTAAATATACTAGAGAAGGAGTATACAAGGAAAAAGAACTATTTTTAAGGTTTCATTTAAACCAAAATTCCCAGAAATCATAAAGCTAAAAACATTTTCAACACAATAACACTATAATAAAATAAACATATACTAAATGCTAAAAACATTTTCAACACAATAACACTATAATAAAATAAACATATACTAATAAAGCAATAAACGTTTTACACCTTTAATGATTTTTGTGACTAAATAGAGATAGTATTTCATTAAGTTAGTAAATAATTAGATATTTTTATTTTATTAAAAGATTGCTTATGGTCACACTTAGCCAGCAATTTACATGAAGCTGCAGACTCATTTACTTTTAACAATAAAAGTTTTAACAAGTATTTTTCTCCCTCTTTTAATCTCAGACAAAATCTCTAGGCAAGTCATATTGTGAAAAAATAAATACAAAATTATAATGGACATGCAAAGCTATTTTCCTAATTTACTGAGTTTTTATGAACAACTGTAATAGAACATTTTTTTACTGATAAATGCTTTCCTTCAATTAGAACTATATACTCAGCAACAAATATTTTAACTCTCTGAGGGAATACTCAGATATAAACTAAAACTTAACACATACAAATAAACCTTAAGAGACATTTCACTTAGTATCTCACCAGTAAGTTTGAAATGACACTGACACAAGTATGATAATTTTCAACTTGATTTTCTGATGAATGTTAAAGTCTTTATGTAAATTAACTTTCCACTGTTTTTTTTTCTGAAATATTAATTTAATTGGCTTTATCTACAAAAATCATTTTGCTTACCCTGGTCCTCATTTCTTCTCTTTCAGTAACAAGCTGTTTCTGGAATAGCACATATTGGTTTTAACAGATTCAAAATCACGAAAGCACTATCAGTAACAACTTTAATGCTTAAACTAATAATTAATACAAGTAAGACATTATATATTATCATTTATAGCAACCTTCCTTTCTTTATATCACCAGTTTTGTTAACTCGTAAATGATTCAGACCTTGTTTCTACTACACTACTCTGCTATTGTGTTGTTTCATACGAATCTCAGTTTGCTATTACTACACCACTCTCCTATTGTGTTATTTCATACGAACATCTGAGTTTGTTGCTACTACACCACTCTCCTATTGTGTTGTTTGATATGAAGCTAAGAGCTTGCTGCTACTACACTGCTCTGCTATTGTGTTGTTTCATGAGAAGCTCAGAGCTCGCTGCTACTACAATACTCTGCTATTGTCTTGTTTCATAAGAAGCTCAGAGCTCACTGCTCCTATACTACTCTGCTATTGTGTTGTTTCATAAGATGCTCAGAGCTTGCTGCTACTGTACCACTCTGTTATTGTGTTGTTTTGTAAGAAGCTCAGAGCTTGCTGCTACTATACCACTCTGCTATTGTGTTGTTTTGTAAGAAGCTCAGAGCTTGCTGCTACTATACCACTCTGTTATTGTGTTGTTTTGTAAGAAGCTCAGAGCTTGCTGCTACTATACCACTCTGCTATTGTGTTGTTTTGTAAGATGCTCAGAGCTTGCTGCTATTCTGCAACTGTATCCTATCTAGCTTAAAGCCTGTTAATGTTACCCATTTTGTAAAGGATACTAAAACAGATCAATGCTATTTTGTTGTCTCTTCTTGCTTTTGTTTCCTAATTAATTCCCTCTTAGTAAACATTCCATATGTTTTAAATTACTTTTAAGGTTTAAAATAACTACTGTATTGCCCCTATTTAATTCCCCCAGGGGAATCTATCTTTCACATGTGATTTGTTGATTTCAATGCTAATAAATGTTTGTGTGTTAGTATATGTTGGAGTACTATTGCTGTCACACAATAATACTGGGGAGGGGGATAATTAGAGAGGGGCATTAATTAGGGGCAACACGGTAATTATGAAAACAAGTCCAACTGATAGTTAAATATAACCTATAGACATAAATACCTTCTTGTCTGAATATCCAGCATGGACCTTCATAAGCTTTTCATAAAAAAATTAACTCACTACAGTTACAAAACTTTTTTTTTATACTTTCAGGTGTTTTTGTGCTATTTCTTCATAGAAGTTTGCTGCTGTTTTTTAGTTAGTAACCTAATTAAACTTGGTCTAGGTTTTGACCCCTTATGTTTTTGTGACTATTTCATATCTGCATTTTTAACTGCTAATGTATGTATATATCAATAATCAATAGCTATTTTGCAATACTTTGTTATTAACAAGATACAGAATAACCACTAATTTGTTTATGATAAAACCTAAGACATACTAGATACTGAGGTGAGTTGTACTGACTTACCAAGAGCAAATAAAAATTCACAACAAACTTAAAAAACATATCAGAAACTTCAAATTACCAATTTGTCATACACATCATTATAGCATGATGTGTATTCAGACCTCAGCTCAGAGATGTACTTTTCTTTGTCTTCAAATGTTTTGAACAGTTCACTGACCTAAGATATAACAGAATCAACCATGTCTTACAAATTTCAGCATTTCATCTTAAGTTTGATTTATCATAAAAGACACATATAGTTTACCTAAATCTATACTTCTGTAAACTTTATATACTGTAATTTGATTTTAGGTTAACTCTTGTAACATTTCTCAATTAAAAAATACCATTAAATTATCTTCAGCATTTCTAACAGATAAGTTTAAACACTGTTGAATAATATACTGTAAGATCCCCTTTTTATGTAATAAAATCTTTAATTAACATAAATACAGAATCAGACAATCTGGCGTTACAATCATGACAAAAGATGAAAATAGTCCTAATTTCATGTGTATGACATACAGAAAGTTTACACAAGTCAGTTTCTTATGATAATCTAAACCTAATGATGGTAAATGCAACATCGCAAGTTTTTCAGATGTAATACTTTACTGTTGTCTCAGAAGGATATCAGAACTATAACACAGTGTTGTCTAAGAATGACACTACAATTCAAGTAAGGTGTTGTATGAGAATAACATTACAAGTAGAATACAATATTGTCTGAGAACAGCATTTCAACTAGATCAAAATGTTGTCTGCAGATGATATCACAACCACAATACCATGCTGTCTAGGAATTATAATGACATTGTAAATGGAATACTACATTGTGTGAAAATGAAATTATAATCAGAGTGCAGTGTCGTCTGAGAATGATATTACAACTGTAATGGGGTTTTGTTAGAAAACATTATTTCAATAACAATGGGGTGTTGCCTAAAGACAACTTTAAATTAAAATGAGGTGTTGTCTAAAAATGACATCACAACTACAAGTTAACATTTTCCTTACCTGAAAATGTATTTCTGACGAATGCTCACCTCTAAACACAGAATAGCTTGATCCTTCATGCATCTGTGTATGAGATTTGCATGCCACTAGACTTGAGCTATCTCCCATCTATAAAACATGTTTAATGCAATGGCTGACTGCGAAACCTTATATTCAAAAGTCAGCAAGCATGAGTCAAAGAAGTGGGCATTCACCTTCCTGGTGCTGGCTTTTTCCATGATAGTCTATGGAAGATAAAGTCTGGATCATGTGACAATAGCTATCCACCAAGAGGATGGTGACACAACCTTCTTGCGCAGTAGCTACCCTTAAGCATTTGAACTCAAAATAAATTCAATGTTAGACAAGGCAAGAAGAAAGTGCACTGGAAGTTGGAAGAATGGGTGGGAAGGTGTGAAGAGGTGAGTCTTTATTGGAAATACATTTTCAGATAAGGAAAATGTTAACTTCTGAGACAATACCTCACTTCTGGACACAGCATAGCTAGAAACCCAGACTGAAATGGTGGAGGGGCCAGTGCAAACATTAAACTTAGATTAGCTCCCTTCAGAGAAGATGACTGAATGGAAAGCAGAGGCTCCATAGGGGCACATCTGTATCACATCTCAACCAGAGTATACTCTTTGCCCAAAAGAAAAAAGAGCCCCAAGTGTCACAGGGATGGGTGGAATTTTTGCATGATCAAGTGGTCAGCAAGCCAAAAAGTGTTGTGTGGTTAGGGTGCAATGAGACAGTATGATGTGTGTCTGACTTTGACTGAAATGGACAAACAAAGACAGGAAGAGAGCACACTAGTTATCTGAGAAGTAGACCTGCACAACACATACAGAACCGCCACCACCCTACTTTCCATTGTATTGTGTTGTACATAATCAGTGAGGCACCCAAAGAAGTGCCTAAATTCCCATCTGACACCTGCCAAAAAAAGTCTTTGATGGGAAATGCAAGATACCACCATAGAATTGTCAAAGTGAAGCCAGAAGATTTTCCCCTTAGTAAGCCCAGACCATGAGGCATCACCTTTTGAAAAGCAAGAAGGTCTAAAACATTGTGTAGGGAAGCCTCATCATTTGTGCATAGACCCTGGAATTCCTGATTGTTGCGATATGCACCCCATCCCCGAAGCGAGGCATTCGTGAAGAGATGGATCTCTGGTCGAGGTGGTGTCAGAGGAAGCCATACCTTAGTATTGTCCCAATTGAGATCGAAGAGAATTATCCTTAATAAGAAAACTGGGGAATCCAGTGAATCGACGTTTATAATCCATTGGTTGCATAAAGACCATTGAAGGGATCTCTTGTGTGCTCATCCCAAAGACATGAGGGATTCAAGTGATGCCCACATTCCCAAAAGAGAAAGAACCATCCTTGCACCTTGCAGTGGGAGAATGAGAGGAGAGTAAGAGCCTGGCTTCCTGTTCCATAGTGTGGAGCCGTATGGTAGTCAGCTGAGCCTGACTGAGATATGTGATGAAAAAAACATATCTAGACTAATGACATATTGAGTTGGAGCATGAATAGATGCCTCAGCTCTGATAATGAAGCATGCCTTGGTTGTTTCTAAAAGTAGAATCTGGGTGTGACATTCTGCTAATTGATGAAATGATGCCAGCAGTAACCAGTCATCCATGGTATGATGTGTGCACAGGCCTAGAGAAAGAAGGTGATAAGAAAAATCTAATACGATTTGGTACAACACATATGGTTCCGATGCTAGTCCAAAGGTCTGAGCCTTGAACTGCAGTACCTGACCCTTGTGCATAAAATGTGGATAATGGTGCGATGCCACCACTATGGAAAATGTGCAGATAGAATTCAGTGACATCAAACATACTACACAATCTTAGTAAAAATTTCAATTCAGAATGAGGAATGACTCACTTGTGAACCTTGGAGGATATAGGAATTTACATAGATGAGAAAGATCAACGACTGAATGCCAATCTCCTATCTTCTTGGGCACAACAAATAGACTACCCCAGACCAACAAAACTCTGATAGCCCTAGAATGAAGTTCTGAAATCTGAGTATTTTCAGAAGGCGAAAACATACAGGTTTGGTAGATAATGGTGGTGAAGATGTAAACTGAATGACTTATCCTGACTAAAGGACCTGTAGTGCCCCCTGGACCCATGGTTAAGGTTTACCACACATTCAGAAATTCTTGGAGCCCAGCCTTCACAGATCCCAAAGGTATACAATAGTCACTGCTGCTGCTAACAGCATTCCAACTGAGTGGAGGACCCCTTGGATATGGACAGAATCTATTCTGGGTACCAATGGACTGATGTTAGGGGTCAGGACCCTCAAATAGGGTCAAAACTATGACCCCCAAGGAAAGTCGAGATGCCAACAACATCAGGGAGTAATGTAGAAGCTGATAATTGTACCAATGTGCATGCTATCAATTGTTCCAGCTCATCATCAATGGACTTGATGATCCTGAGAGTCTTCTAACAAAGTTTAGTTTTACAAAAACAACACATTAGACTTCAGAGTTGTAAGTCCAAATAGACAGAGAACATTGATCAATTCAGGTTAACTACAAACTCCACTCTAGGACCCTAATTTCCAGGAGCAGATGTATTCTTTGAGGGTCAGAATATGTTTCCATCTGGCGGTGGTAGGCTAAATCACGTAGTTCCAACAACCGTGGTGGATAAAGCATAGCTGTCCCTTAAAATAACTGAGCAGTAAACTTCCCTGCATGAACCACAATGTCACTGGATGGAGGGAAACTAAGTATTTGGTCCCAGACCTTTCAGCCAACTGAAGAAAAAGAGCCTGAGGTAGCTTATCCCATAGTGTCCTCCTGAGAAGCCAACAAAATAAAACAAGGCACAGGAAAATGCAAATCTAAATTCTCTCCAGAATGTCCAGGATTGCCCTCAATTGCAGTCTCAGAGCCACACAAAAGAATACCACTAAAGTGAATATATGTCTATATCACACTACGAATAAGGTCACTGAGAGTCTCAACTAAGAGTGACTCCCCCCCCTGATTCAGAGGTGGGATGGGAGAGACCTGATTTCCCTCCATGCTGAAAATAATAATCTGTATATAGGCTTGCCAAATGATTTTTTTTAAAGAAAATCAACTAGGTAACATGAAGAATGCTCAGAATATCATCAAACGATCATAGCACAGAGAAACCCGTCAGTGAACGCTTTGTCAAGAAAAAGTTATAACATTATCTGAGATGCTTATATACAGTACCAGGATATAGGGTGCATTGACATAGGTGAAGACATATGTAATTATGTTTTGGAAATAAGCATATTCTGAGAGGCAACATCAGCCATTTGGCACGATAAAATATGAGGGAAGAGAGTGGAATAAGGGTATTGAAAAACAATATGTACTTACTCTTCTCAAAGACAGTGTATAGATTGAAGAACAGTAACTGGCAGGAGTCAAAATTCTGCAGGGGATGAAACAGCCAGATGATGAAGAGAATGGGAGATGAATGTGTGAAGATTCATCCATATGTCAGCCTGAAAGATCTTGTTCAAGCATAGGTGAAAATGAGACACAAGAGAGCAAGACAGTTGATGAATCTGATGTAACAAAATGTGAAAGAATAAACACCTTCCTGAGCAGCCAAAGTCTTTGGAAGAAAGGCCTGATCAATGTAGAGGAGTAAGTAAGTATGGTGAAAGAGAGTGCAGGAAACATAAATGGCATAAACACCTGAATGACTGCAACTACAGGCATAAAGAAGGAGGATATATGACTTCAAAAAAGATGGTATAATGAACATGAAGCCAAAACCTCAAATAGAGCACATGTAAGACCATATAAAACCACATTAAAGTCCTAGTCAGGCATGGGAGTATGACAAGGGGTCAGTGAAGAAGGAAGGATAGGAACAAAATAGAGAGGAAAAATTAAGAAAAAAAACTAAAGGTAATGTGAAAAGCAAAATGTTGTTGATAAAGCCTATCGATCACCAGAATGGTGAAAAACAACAATCTATTGTCAAACAACCCTCTGAAATAAGCTGAAAGGTGGGCCACAGCAAAATGGCCTGGAGGAAGGGAGTGGCTGACAGACCAATGCTGAAAAACTGTTGCTTCTTTTGATAGATGGACAGAGTTAAAGGATAGCAGGGATGGGATAAGATAAAGGCTACATAACTGGAGAGTCCAGCCATGCAGGCAATGGACCAGATACATTCCACATGTGAAGATGAAGGGACAACACACCTGAGTAAAAGAGAGATGTGTAATGTTGGAGCAACAGGGGGTCTTGATACCAAGCAAAGAAAATGAAATAGGTTGAAGACCTGACAAGGAATGTCATGTGTCAAAGAAATGACATTTGCATGCAACAGTGCAGCAATATCACACAGAAATGAGTGATTTTAGGTGGGGTTTCAAGGCTAGTGGCAAGTAAAAATTGTGTATGTGGAGGACAGCACTGAATTGGGAAAGCTATAATTGAGAAAAGGTAAGGTATTGGAATTTTTTTTTCAATTGAAAGTAAAAAAAGAAACCATGCTGGTTATGTGAATCATGAACAGTAAACCAGGGAAACTTAAATGAAATTTAACTCAGTAGAAAAACACTGCAAATCTCAAGTAAATGATTAACAGTTTTGAAACACATCCATTCTAGACAGTGCTGAAGAAAGGAATGAAGTTGTGTCGCCCTCCTACTGGTGGAAGGCTATCATTGCATGATGAAACCATTGTGCACAAGCACAGTTCATGATAAACACGTTTTTTAGGAGAGAGACAACTCAAGGCTAGTGGCATGCAAATCTCATAGAAAGATGCACAAAAGAATCAAGCTATTCTGTGTCTGGAGGTGAGATATCATCTCGAAATCTAATGTTGTATGAGAATCACAGGACTTGAATATAATATCGTTGTAGAAATATTACAATAGGATATTATCTGAGAATGGCATTGCAACTCAAATAGCATGTTGCCTGAGAACAATATTACAACTACAGTACAGTGTCATGAAAATTACAATAGAACTTGAATATGCTATTGCAGGGAAAAACATTACAGTATCTAGAGCAAGGTGTTGATAATAATGACAATGCAACTCAGATAACTAGTTGTAGTGAAACAAATTTAAAATTAAAATAGTGTTATCTTATGATAACACTATGAATGGTAACTAAGGATGACAATACACCTACATTAAAGTTTCTGAATAGACATCATATATCTGAAAGTGACATTATGACTAAACTACAGTGTTTAAAAAGACATTATGCATCTGAGAATGATAGTAGAACTACACTGTAGTGTCTGAAAAAACATTATGTATCTGAGAATATGATTACACTGTAGTGTCTGAAAAGACATCATGAATCTGAGAATATGATTACACTGTAGTGTCTGAAAAGACATTGTGTATCTGAGAATATGATTACACTGTAGTGTCTGAAAAGACATTATGTATCTAAGAAAGATATTATAACTAGCCTGTTTCATAACATCTTCTGCAGCTAGATTAAACTTCTGCTCCAAGTCTAAGCGGAAGGCCTGCTCCCGCAGGAGGTCCTCTTTTAAGTTATCTATTGTCTGTTGAAGATCTGCCAACTGCTGCCGGTGCTTCTGATCAGCCTCCTGAATTTGTTGGAGCTGAAGTTCATAGTTGCTGCACATCTCACACGAACGTCCCATTTTCTCCCTCGCTCGTTTCACCTGAAGAATAGCAAAACATGAATTCCAGCTTTTTATACTTGTAATAAAAATTACTATAAAAAAAGAAAGTTCATTTAAAATGTACGTGTGAAAGGTTAAAAGTTTGCAAATTTTAAAATTCACCAAAAATAATATATATAAATTGATTATGGAGGATTTATTGTCCAACTATTGCCAAGACAATGGTTAGGCACAAAATAAAAAAATTAATATCCTATTCACATTCTAAAGTTATTATTCATTAAAATATTACATATATAAATATATACGTTTTGTTTTAATCTTCTGGTAAATAGCTCTTTGGTTCTTATGCTACAGCTACAGATTAACTTTATTTCAAAAAGGATGTTAACAAATGATTGTAAAGACTTAAAATCTCACCAGCTCATCTGGATTTAAATAAAAAAATTATTAATTAATTTCCAATCCAACAGAAATGTATCAAAAACGTGTTTGAAGTATATATACATATAATCACTAATGTCTTTAATGGATAGAATTATTTGGCTCTTTTAAGCCATAGTAAACTACACTGTTCTCTTCCAAAAAACATTATAAAGTCATTAAATGATCTTTACTTAACAAATTTGATCTGTTGGTTTTTTTGTTTGTTTTGCATAGTCATGCAAGAGCTATCTGTGCTAACCCTTTGTAACTTTGAACCAATAAGACTAATGAGAAGGCAGTAAGTCAACAACACCTGTCAACAGATCTTGGACTTTAATCAAACAGTGGGATTCGACCATCACTCTTGTAATGCATCTAGGGTTTTAGTGTGCGGAGTGCAAATATAGATTATACCTATATATATATATATAG